GCCACTGCTCAGATTCGTACAATCTAGCCAATAGCTCACAGATGCTCAGATTCCTTAAGAGTCTGGCTAATATGGCGGATCTTTAATAAACTTCATTTTTGGCTGAAAGAAGGCTTGGGTCAAATTCTTTCAGACAGGACCTGGGTGTTGTGAGCTTGGGATTCCAGCACCCCTAACCTCTAGACCTCATCAGTTTGCCATTTCCTTCTCCAGTTCATTTTACAGATGAGGAAACTGCAGCAAACAGTATTAAATGACTTGCCCAGGGTCACACAGTTAGTTAGTATCTGAGGCTGGATTTGAATTCAGGAAAATGAATCTTCCTGACCCCAGGCCTGGTGCTCTATCCACTGTGCCACCTAGCTGCCCCTGTAGCTACAAATATTGTAGTGGGTAGTGGGTAGTGGGTAGTACAAATATTATTGGCTCTATTTTATCAATGAGGAAGGTGAGGCTTATGGGACTTGTCACGTCACACAGTATCAGACCTAGGATTTAAACCCACCCATCTCCTGGATTCAGCATTCATTACAGTAGACAAGACCAGTCTACTGTGAGTAGGCATGGGAAGCATCATGAAGTGGGTAGCATTTCAGGTGGGCCTTGGACGATGAGTAGATCTGAATACAAGTTGTGGGTGAGTTATGTGGAAACGAGTGTTGTAAGTGGAGGAGAAGGGAAGACTGGCCTGAATGAAAAGAAGGGTGTGTACAGAAAAAAAAATGAGAAATAAAATTAAACAGCTAGAGTGGGACCACCATATCTTGTACCTCATAAACAATAAATGCTTGTTAAAATGAATTAAGCAGAATTGAATTATGAAGGGTTATAAAAATCATTCGAGAAATTCGGAGTTAAACAGTACAGCAATAAAGTCATACAGGTTTTTAATCATGTGAGTGATAATTCCAAGCATGGTAACCCATGAATTGATAATTCCAGATCCAGGCATAGTAATATAGTAGAAATGGAAATTAATTTGGAGAGAGATGACTAGGGCAGCAAAGTGGTGCGATAGATAGAACGGCCAAGCTGGGAGTCAGGAAGATTCATCTTCTTAAATTCCAATCTAGCCCCAGACACTTAATGGTTTTGTGTGACCTTGGGCAAGTCAGTTCCTCATAAGCAAAATGAGCTGGAGAAGGAAATGGCAAACCATTCCAGTATCTTTGCAAAGAAAACCCCAAATAGGGTTACAAAGAGTTGGACTTGACTAAGGTTCTAATTCTGACTCCACTACTTAGTACTAATGAGATCAAGGGTAAGTCACTCAACCTCCCCAGGGCCCTGTATCTTCAACTGTAAAAGGAAAGGGTTGGGCTAAGTGGCCTTAAGGTTCACTTCCAGTTCAAAGTTCTATGAAACACCAAATTAGGAGGATTTCTCTGACAGTGACATGTGGTATTGATTAGAGGGAGAGAGAGAGAGCTGGGAGTCTCCTGCAATAATTCCAGAGGGAGATAATACATCTGCACTAGGGTGATAAGGGAGGGGGAACCTAAAGAAAAGTATTGGTTGTGAAGGGTATTTTAAGGAGAGATTTCATGGGATTTGTTGACTGGTTGGTTGTGAGGTCTGAGGGAGAAGAAGCAGTCTAATGAGAACAAGCCTGGGAAATTGGAAGAACAGTAACATCGGACAGAAGTGGGATGGATGGAAAGAGGAACAAAGATTTTATGCTTTGTGGAAGATGATGCATTCAGTTTGAGTTTAAAGTGATAGTGGAATATATTTATTTGTTTTGGATGACTAAACTTATGTATTATGAGACAGAACTTCTCTCCGGTAGGGAGTATGTAGTTATAGATATAAAAAAGGAAAAAGAATAAATACCAATAAAGTGCTGAACACGAACAGGAAAAAACCAACCAAACAAACAAAAAAGTTAATATACACTACTTAAAAACAAGTTGCATGTAGCAAATTCATCATCATTTTTGTTGAAATGTCTATGGATGATTAAATTCATGACAAAAGTATTAAATATAAAATAATAAGTGATGATAGAAAATCCAAGTTTAGAGAGCACCGCACTAGAGAAGTATACCTTAGAGTCCTATTCACAGAGATCACCATGCGAGGTGAGTGAATAGGCACGCAGAAACATAAACAGAGAGAGAGACAGCAGATCTCAGAGTATAAATACTACTTTCCTCTCTGAAACTTATCAACCTTGTTTTCTAATCCAGAATTTAGTGGGTCAGCCCGTTTGGTCTACGTAGTAATCAATAATTAGCCTAATCAATAATAAGCCTGTTTGCTTCCCTTAATCTAACATAAAATGACACTTCAAAAAATATACAGAAAGAAGCAAATACTTAGCTTTAGGTCAACCAGGAAAAGCTTTCAAGGTTGTTTGAGTGAAAAATTTAATACGGACATTAATTTAGTCCCAGATCCTATTGGTCAATACGACAATGACCCCTTTTTGAATTAACAACTGCCTGGCCTCTGCCATGTCAGGTCCTGATAACTGAGTTACTACATTATATTACATTTGGTTTATTGAGATGTAATGCCTGATACTATTTTCATAATATTTTTATTTCAGAGGATAATTAACATTAACACCAATTTAGGATTGTATTTAGTTTGACTGTGACCCCAGATTAGTCCCAAGATGGTCTAAGAGTAAATGGCTTGGGCTGAGGGGGGAGGAGGAAGCATTTCAGAGATGGCTTTTTCTGCTCCAGGGAAGAAAGGATGAAGGATAAAGATAATGCCTTCTGTTGCTTTTCAATGACCCCCAGGGATTGTCATTGGAGTAGCATTAACAATCTCCACCATGTCTGGCCACCTTCTTTAAGCCAGATGGGGAAAGCAAATGGTATACTTAGTGCATGGGGGAGGGGAAAGAATGAGAAACACAGACCAGGGTTATTTTATTAGCAGTCTCTTTAAGTCAAACTAATAAATTCATTTTCAAATAGTCAAAAACAAAAATTTAAAAAAACAAAAATAAAAAAACACCTGTTTTCCCCTTTGCGCTTTGCTTTTTAAAATTCTTTAAAAAAGATGAAGCAACATTGCCCATTTCAAGCCCAGCTAGGGAGGTCGAACAATTAGGTGTCTTTGCACACTGATAGTAACTTAAGCAGCCCAGGAAGATGGCAAGGACTAATTTAGTTTTAGTGCCCTCTAAGAGGGTGATTTGCCAGATGGTCCTCTGGTGCCTTGGTGAAATGAGCTGGCTCCCTGGCCCTGTTGCAATATTTAGTCACTGGAGAAAACCTTAGAATGAAAAATATAAACTAGAAATCACTTTCAGGTTCTTTCCCAAGAATCATAACGGAAGTGTAGCCCATCCAAACCAGGGTTTTCCTTTAGTTCTTTTTTTTTGGGGGGGGCAGGGAGAAAAGGGGAGGGCCAGCCTTGTGATTTCATCAGACTAGAATAGAGACTATCATTGTGGAAATTTTTTCCATTGATACAGATCAGTAACATCTTTTAGAGAGTTGTCTGGAATACTTAGAATTTAAGTGACATATACAGGTTTAAATAGCTACTATGTCCAGTTTAGGGTACATAGGTGACACAGTAGATAAGAGTGTCAAGGCTGAAATCAGTAAGAATCATCTTCCTGAGTTCAAATCCAATCTCAAACACTTACTAGCTGTATGACCCCAGGCAAATCACTCAAATCTGTTTGCCTCAGTTTCCTCATCTGTAAAATGAGCTGGAGAAGGAAATGGCAAACCACTCTAGTATCTTTGCCAAGAAAACCCCAAATGGGGTCGCAAAGAGTTAGAAACGCCTGAAACAACTAAACGACAACAACAACAAACACGTTAAACCCTTGCATTCCTGACTCCCAAGCCAACCCTCTCCCCCCATGCTACACAGCCTCTCTTCTTTATCAGATAAACTACAAATAAACAACTCGACCACTAGACCTCCATCTTGATAGTTGCTACCCTTATTCATAGACATAAAGGCTATTAGAAGTGGAAGGGACCTAGTCCAACCCCACATTTTGTTTTTAATTTTTGAAACTTTAATTCTCCTTCAAGTAACAACAAGGAAAAGGGAGTGGATTTGATTTCGTTTGCATACGGAACTGTCTAGATGAGGAAACTCCTACTAACAATTCAGTTGGACACAATTCCTGCAACCTATAGTCCTAGATCAGGGGTTCTTAACCTGGAGTACATGAGTGTCGTTTAAAAAAAAAAGCACGATAATTGCGTTTCAATGTGATTGTTTTCTTTTGTTTTATGCATTTAAAATATCATTCTGAGAAAAGGTCTCTACCAGATTGCAAAAGGGTTCATGACACAAAATGATGAAGAATTTCTTCCTTAGAGAGGTGAAATAATCTGTTCAAGGTCACATAACAAGTATTTGTCAGATTGGAACCAGATTGGAACCTTTTTGAAGATGGCTCTCTCCATCCACTATGCTATGTTAGCCCACCTTGAAACCTAGTGATATTTTAAATCTGATCTAGAATCAAAGATTATTGCTGTTCAGTTCTGTCTGACTCTTCATGACCCCATTTGGGGTTTTCTTGACAGATACTAGAGTAGTTTGCCATTTCCTTCTCAAGCTCATTTTACAGATGAGGAAACTGAGGCAAACAGGATGAAGTGACTTGTCCAGGGTCACACAGCTAGGGTCTAAGGCCAGATTTGAACTCAGATTTTCCTGACTCCAGCCCCAGCACTCTACCCAGTGTACCAACTAGCTACGCAATGGATTTAATATAGATTTAATACAGAATTTACTGGATTTAATACAGATAACTCAATTGACTTTAGCCCCCCTGCAGTTCAGAACTCCCCAACTCATGGGGATCCACCTATCTCAGCCACCCCCCAGTAGCAGAGATGCTAGATGAGAGCCATCAGACATGGGAACACAACAGGATTTCCAAGGAAGATTTGAGCTAAACGAAAGGAACAAAAAGAATTTACTTTGTCCAAGAGAAAACCACTTTTGGTTTTAGAAAAGAAAGTGAAATAACATACAATGACTCCCTTATCTGTCAATGCAGCCGAGTTTATTGAAGCTCTTTGTTGACAATGAAAGGACCACCCTGGCTGGAAGATTTTAAAGAATGAAGGGATTTTGTTCCAAGAACCGGTTCCTAATCATACTCAATTTTCTTTCAGTGGCAATCATCTCTCTGAACATCGCATTCTCTTCTGAGCTGCAAAAATAAAAAATAAAATAAAACTAAAAGCAGCTTTTTAGTATGAGCAGAAGGGAAAGATGGGGAGAAAAGTCACTTGGAATATTTCCAAGTGTTTAATAAATATATGGATTATGTAGACATAATATACACCAGACCTACTTCTAGCATACACAATGTTGGAGGAACATTGCTCAATGATGCATTTATGACTCTGATGCCCAAATCATCTTTGTTTATCTCTAGCCATATCATATATTACTTGGATACAAATGGTAAAGATCCAAAATGGCCTAATAATGAATAAAGTATGGTGTAATGGAATGATACTGGAATGGGAGTTGGGTTTAGAGTCAGGAAGACTCCTCTTTCTGAGGCCTCAGATACATATTAGCTGTGTGACCCTAGGCAAGTCACATCACCCTGTTTGCCTCCGTTTCCTCATCTGTAAAATTAGCTGGAGAAGGAAATAGCAAACCACTCCAGTAGCTTTGCCAAGAAAACTCCAATGGGGTCACAAAAAGTTGGACATGACTGAAATGATTCAACAACAACTAGTTAGATAGGTATATGAGTTGTTCCTTGGAGTTCACCAGATTACCAGAGTGCTCCCTGACACAAAAAAGGTTAGGAATCCCTGGACTACTGGTCAATAGGAAGGAGTGAAAAGACCTAGATTCTCATCAGGTTCTGCCACTTGGTGATACTTTGAGCAAATTACTTATCTTCTCTGGACCTCAGTTTCCTCATACATAAAAAAAGACCAAGGCAGACTAAATGAAAGCAAAGATCTCTTCCAGCTTAAAATCTATGATCCTATGAGCCTGGGGTCCCTTCCAGCTCTAAAATTCTATGTGTGAATGGCTAATTCTGGCTAGGAATAAAGAACAACTGGAACTGGGTTACAAAGAAGACCTGTACTTTGTGACAAACAGCAACTACAAATCCCCACCCTCAAGCCAATGGCTTTAATGTCATTGCTAAATACGTTGCTCACAGAATCACAGAATGTTAGAGCTGGGGAAAACTTTAGAAATCCTCTAGGACAACTTTCTCTTTTTTTTAATTAATTTTTTATTTTTAAATTTTAAATTTTAATTTTTTCATATGTGAAGTATTAATTTTTCCCTCTACTTTTCCCTTATCTCCTTCCTGTTGTTCAGTCATTTTAGTCATGTCCAACTCTTTGTGACACCATTTGGGGTTTCTTTGGCAAAGATATGAGAGTGGTTTGCCATTTCCTTCTCTAGCTCATTTTATAGAGGAGGAAACTGAGGCAAACAAGGTTAAGTGTTACACAACTAGTAAGTGTCTGAGGCTGGATTTTAACTCAGGAATATGAGTCTTCCTGATTCCAAGCTCAGTGCTCTATCCACTGTACCAACTAGCCATTGCCCCCCCCCTTCACTTTATCTCCTGTAAAAGAAAAGAAGAAAAACAAAACCCTTGTAACAAATATGCATAGTTAAGCAAAACAAATTCCCATGCAGGTCATGTCCAAAAATGTATTTCTCATTCTGCATATTGGAAGCCATTATTTCTCTGTCAAGAGGTGGGTAGCATTTTTTGACAATAGTCCTCTGGAATCATGATTGATCATTGCATTGATTAGCATTCTTCAATATTTCAAAATTGTTCATCTTTTCATTATTATTATAAATTACATTCTTCATTCAGTAAACTTAGCTCTGCATCAATTCATACAAGTCTTCCCAGGTTTCTTTGAAACTATCCCTTCTGTTGTTTCCCACAATTACATTCATATACCATAACTGGTTCAGCCATTGCCCAATGGAAGGGCACTCCCTTAGTTTCCAGTTCTCTGACTCTACAAAAAAGAGCTGTCAAAAATATTTTTGTACATGTAGGATCTTTTCCTATTTCTCTGATCTCTTTGGGGACATGAACCAAGTAGTAGTACAGCTGGGTCAAAGGGTATTCACAGTTTAGTAGGCATAATTCCAAATTGCTTTCCAGAATGACTATACCAATTCACTGCTTCAACAACAGTGCACCAATGTGTCTGTTCTCCCAAAGGCTCCCTCATGCCATCCCCAAAACCCTGTCTTTTAATAGCTGAGAGAATTGAGCCCGACCCAAGGAGGTAATGAGGCTTGCCCAAGGTCACATCAGTAGTTAGTGAAAGGGACTTGAACAACCAGGTCTTCTGATTCCAAGATCTTTGCTCTTTCCACTCTGTCATGTTAAGTGATCTCTCTATGTACCCATGAATCATCTCTGTTTGAATCTGTTGCCACATAGCATCCAAAACCAACTTGATATTGAAAGCTTGAAAATTTTCTAGGCTAGAGGGGAAAAGAATTTCAGCTAATTTGGGGGCAAATTATTCTGTGTACTTCTTGACATTCCAAAGAGAAGGTTGTATTTTTGTGACTTGGAAACAATGAGTCCGGTGCTATTTTAAGGTTGTGACAGGATCAAACAGGAATAATTAAAATAGCAGTATTGTATTTTGTATTTCTTTTTTATCATGGCTACTTTTAGCAATTTCCCCTCTTTGACTTTACTTTTATATCCCTTGATTAGGGATGCATACTTCACACTAACGTCCTTGAGGACTAAACACAAAGCATCATTGTATAACGGAAAGAACTGTACCTTTAGAATAGGAAGACAGGGTGCCAACAATGCCCACTTACTAGGCAGCTAGGTGGCAAAGTTGGAAGAATCATGGAGTCAGGAAGACTCAAGTTCACATGGAGCCTCAGACACTTACTAGCTATGTGACCCTGTGCAAGTCACTTGACCTTTGTCTGCCTCAGTTTCTTCATCTGTAAAATGAGCTGAAGAAGGAAAATGGCAAACCATTCTAGTATCTTTATCAACAAAACTCCAAATGGGGTCATGCAGAGTCAGACACCACTAAACAACCATAGCCTTTGATTCTAGAGATTTAATATGTCATTAGGCTTCAAGGGGGCAACATGGCATAGTATAGAGAGAGGGCTGGCTTCAAAAAGGTTCAAATCTGGTTCCAATCTGACATATACTTCCTATGTGACCTTGGGCAGATTACTTCACCTCTCTAAGGGAGAAATATAAAGTGGGGATAATAATAGCACTTACCCCCTGTGCTAATAGCACGATATCCCAGGGATATTGTGAGATAAACATAAAATGAGATAACATTTGTAAAGTACTTTGCAAATCTTAAAGTAATTATAATTACTTTAGCTATTATTTAGCTAGCTATTATTATTATATAGCTATGACCAGATGCATGAGTTTAGGCAAGTCATTTAGCCTCAGTTTCCTCAACTGAAAAAAGGAATAAAAATATTTGTACTATTTATATTACAGGGTCATTGTGAGGATAGAATTAAATAATGCATATTAGGACTACCTTAAAACCAAGTGATATTATTTGCCCTTGTGTTTCTCTTTCCTTACCAGTAAATAACAATTTTCCTCTACCTCCTCCTAACCAGTAGTCAGGAAATGGCAGTAGAGCATTGTAATAGAACTGCTTCTTCCCTCTCGGATTCTGGAGTAGACAATAATAGAACTACCTACCTACCTACCTGGGAAAATCATTCTGCTATTAGCAAGTCTACGACTAGCAAGTCAGAATTCCTGCCAATGGGATCCAGGCCTGTGTTAGTTGGAATAAGACAAATTGAAGAATTTCACAACCTAGACCCAGTCTTCAAGGAGCTCATGTCATCTTTGTTGACATCTCATTCACTTCATTTCCCATTGCCCTCGGGGGTTCATTTCAATCAAATGTCACCTGTAAAAATGTTCACTTTGGAGAGAAGAAGAAAAGAGATATTTAAAAATGGGATTTATAGGGAGTCCCAAAAACTACCAGGGATAAGTCCTATTTGTAGATATTTGTAGGGATATGAGGCAGGGAGGATGTTGAGAGAGCCACATAAAGGAAGAGCCAAAATCATATAACCCAAGGAGGCCAATAAGAAGGGTAAAGGTGTTTTTTATATGTGTGTATGTGTGCATTGTTGTTGTTTGTCTTCCGTTCTCAAAGAGGACTGTGACATCAGGGAGGTGATGCCATGACATGCAAGTGAACTGGATTTAAGTGAGGCAGGGCCGTGCAAAGTCACCAGCCTCACTTTCTCCCCCAGAGCCATAGAGTCATCTGGGTCCAGCGGGTGGGATATACACCAGGATGACTGGAGATTGCCCTGGATGCAGTGGGAGAACTTGGCCTTGGTCTCAGTTTGACGAAAGCAACAGCCATTCAGCAATTAAGGCTAGGGGAAAACAAGGCAAAGAATGGCCTCTTTATCTAGTCAAAAAAAAAAAGTCAAAGAGGGAGGGGAAGACCCTCAGGGTTTCTGGCCAAAACAGAAACAATTGCTATTTACATTCAATTTGAGCCAATCAGGGCCCAAATGATGACTAAGTAGGGCTTGACCTGGGACCTATTGTTGGCCAGTCAATGATATATGTGTGTGTATGAATGTATAGTATACATATATAGTATATATGTATATGTGTGTATCCATGTCTGTGTTTGTGTGTATGTTCATAGCAGCATTTCAAAAGGCAGCAGAAAAAAAATACAAAATTCATGGAAACAAAGTAGGTGCCAATCTACCGGGAAGAAGCTGAACAAATTCTGGCGTAGGAACATAATGCAACACAAGAGACAATGGAGATGAAGATAAGCATGATGAGACTGTGCAAATCATTATGAAATCAGCAGAAAAAAGAGAACACAGATAATGAATGTATAAACAAACGAATGTGAACATGCATGAATGAATAAGTGAGGGGGAAAAAAAGCACTTAAGCGCTTACTATGTGTCAGGCATTATGCTAAGTACAGGGGATACAAGTAGAAGAGAGACGGACCTTAACCTCAAGGAATTCACACTCCCACAGAGTGGAAGATAGCACATATGAGGAAGTGTTCGATAGAGAAGGGAGCTTTGGTCAGGGGAGTTACGGGGATGACACGTGGAGACGCCCTTTCCAAAAGCAATGATGATGGTGTTTGGATTGTTGCTGCCTGGTGAAAAGGGATTGGGGGAGGATGGAAGAGGAAAGAAATGTAGTCAGCGGCATGGCAGGAAGATGGCCAGGGTGAAGCACAGGGGGATATCTAGGACCATCTCTCACTAATCAGGACAACACTAGGCGGAAGTTCGGAAGGCGAGCTGTGGAAGTCCTCCAGGGCACTGGAGGCAGTAGAAGGCAGTTTCAGAGGGTGCTGCAACAACAGTAGCCTCCAGGCTGCTTGGTAGGATGGTGAGAGTGAATGAACACAAAATGTAAAGGCAACAGTACTAAGTCAGAATTCACATCAAGTCCATCTTCAGTCTAGACCCTGGAGGACTGATGATGAAACACACCTCCCTCTTCTCATTAGGGAGGTGGTGAACTACAGGTAATAATAACAGCCTTTATATAGCAATTTAAGATTTTCAAAGAGCTTTATAAATATTTCTTTCATTTGATCCTTACAACAACTCTGGGAAATATGTGTCTTTATGGCATGTTAGACTCAAACCTAATGATCAGGAGGTCCTGAGTTCAAATCTAACCCACCTTAGACATTTACTAGCTGTGTGACCATGAACAGGTACTTAACTGCTCTGTACCTCAGTTTGCTCATCAGTAAAATGGGAGTAATAACAACTCCCTTACAGAGCTGTTGCAAAGATTATTGAGATAATATTTGTAAAATGCTTATAAATGCTATCATCATCATCATCATCATCATCATCATCATCATCATTGGTGGCTAGGTGGCAACTGGCTAGAGCGCCAGACCTAGAGTCAGGAAGACCTGAGTTCAAATCTGGCCTTAGGTATGTAATAGCTGTGTGACCCTGGGCAAGTCACTTAACCCTGTTGGCTTCAGTTTCCTCATTTGTAAAATGAACTGAAGAAGGAAATGACAAAGTACTCCAGTATCTTTACCAAGAAAACCCCTAAAGGAGGGTTTTGACCAAAAATGACTGAACAAATCCAAAAATTATTACTATTAGCTAAGAATTATTAAATCAGAATCCAGTTCTTCTCAATCCACCCTTTAGACTATTACAATTGTCGGGTTTCCCTTTGATGTTCATTTTAATATAACCTTTTTATTTTTTCAGGACCAATAATTTTATTGCTTCAAAAGACCCTAAGGTTAGCCCTATCCACTACCCCAAGCTGCTTCAGAATGACTTAGAAATGTTATAAGGGCAGAGAGTCAATGCAGTGGATAGAAAGCTAAGCCTAGAATCAGGAAGACATGAGTTCAAATGTGACTTTAGACACTTGCTAGCTGTGTGACCCTGGTCAAGTCACTTAACCTGTCCCAGGCTCAAGTTCCTCAACTGTGAAGTCAAAATAGTAACAACACCTACCTCACAGCATTGTTGTAAGGATTTAATGAGATTATATTTGTAAAGCACATAGCACAGTGCCTGGCACATTGTAGACACCATATGCTCACTCCCTTCCCCACCCATCTTGTTCAGATACAAGTTGAACTAGCATTTGGGGTCTCTTCCCACTCTGAGATTCTCTGATTCTGTCTTGTTTTGGGGTGTGGGTGTGGTATGGGGGGGTGTCTGTGTGTATTTGTGCTTGGGGAGACGGAAGGAGCCAAGTTTGATTTATCGCAGGCTTTGAAGTATCCTAGGCTTAACAGTACCGTACTTGAGAATCACAAAGGGCAGTCTTTCCCTAAAAGTGTTATAATATTCCTTTCCCATTACCAGTTCAACTTGGACATGCACCGGGAGGAAATCTGAGGCAGGCACCCTGCAGATAGAGGAAAGTGCTTTTAGCTCCCTATCATTGCTTTTAATTAAGGGTCCAGTAGGGCGATCTGCTGCTGTTCCAGGCAGATGCAGAGATTAGCCTGTTCAGAAACATGACATAATGAATACCAAACATTATCAAAATGATTTTATCTATTCAGAACACTTCAGTTTTTCCTTTTTAAAGGCATTGAACCTCAATGGTGTACTGACTCATGAGGAAGATGTACCGTAAATATCTGTTGCTCGTAATAATCCAGCACTTAGCACAGTGCCCGGAACACAGTAAGAGCTTAATAAGTGCTTGTTTATGATGATAGTAACCAACAAGGATGCTAGGTACTAGGAATAAAAAAACAGAAAAATGGAACAATTCCTAATGTCATTGAGCATACTTTCTAACAGAGAAAACAATATGCACACCTCTAAGTATTGAGTTATCACTTCCACATTGCAACTTTCCCTGTCGTGGTTTCAATATATCATGGGTTGGCATAAGAAATTAAACTGGAATTTGGGCAGAGTTTTGTGGAAGCTGCAGACAACACAGAGCCTATGACCAAATACTTAACCTAGATTTTATAATAAGGTACTGTAAATACCCCATTAAAAAAAAAAGAATTCAGACTTCTTTGTATGAAGGCAAGGACAAAAAAAATTTTACATAGATTTTCCAGATTACAGAGGCACTGTTCCCCTAACCCCGACGATGTGAAAGGGATAATTCTATGCATAATGTGTAAAAAATAAAATGATCAAGCATTAGTTTTATAACACATCTCTAATCTCCCCAACACTCAAGGACTCCCATTTATTATCTAATTTTATTAATCAATGTATAGTTGGCATTTTTATCTTGACATTACTGTGTGGAAGGGGTAGGTAGGTGGCTCAGTGAATAGAGCTCCGGGTCTTGGAGTCAGGAGGCCCTGAGTTCAAATGCAGCCTCAGACACTTAATACTTACTAATTATGTGACCTTGGGCAAGTCACTTAACCTCAATCGCTTTACCAAAAAGCAAAAGCAAACAAAAAAAAGTGATAGCAAGACATTACTGTATGGAGTAATGTGGAAGACCAATTTGTTTTACAGATAGGCAATATGGGGTATGAGAAGATGGTATTGAAATATTCCTTGCCATCTCTTTCATGAGTCTGGTTTTCTGCCCTGACAAATCCATATAGACAACCCTCTCTTAACTGCTTTAAGATTTGCAAAGCACTTTACAAATATTATCTCACTTTATCCTCACAACAGCCCTGAGAGGTAGGTGCTACTGTTATAGCCATTTTAAAGATGAAGAAACTGAGGCACAGAGAGCTTAAATTTGTCCAAGGTCACCTGGCCAGTTAGTGTCTGAGGCTAGATTTGAACTCAGGCACTTCGTGACTCTAAAGCTGGCACTCTTTCCACTGTACCACCTAACTTCAATAATTTAGCTCTAGCTATTTAAATCTCTCTGAGCTTTCTTGTTAAATGGGTCTAAGAATATTTGAAATATTTACCTGTGGGTGGTTAAAAGGAGGAAAGCACCCCTGGACTATTCCAAGAAATATGCAATTTCTAGCCTACTCTTTTCCTCCTACTCTAGTTTCCATTGTCTGTCTACAGTGCCTCTTCAAGATATATTTACTGGTAGACTAGCTCAATAAATTAGCCATCTAACTATGACATAGTCTCGGCAGTAAGCATCCTTCATCCTTTGAGTGAAGCCCATTGAGGCAGGCTTGAAGGATGCTTCTACCTACTTTCTCCTGGAATCAATTTACAAATACATGGCTAGTTCCCTATGAGTCTTCTGCCTTTCAGTTCCAAAAACCCAGGAACTATTTGGCTTAGAAAGGAAACCTCTTATACACATGGAGTGTTAAGATACTGGTACCTAGAACTATCTCTTTTATCTTCCCTATAGAATACATCGTTCCCTGATTATGACAAGAAGCCTATGAACATGTTTTCCTATTGAAACGATGTCATAAATGGTACTTAAGTGTCACTGAGCTAATACTACTCAGTATCATATTCACATACCAATAGATGCATCATCTCATTAATGTGAATATCCCCTGCAACATGCAAAAAGCAATCTGTCAGAGACACGTTGCAAAAACTTTCCTCTCCTTTTCGTTTTTGTTGCATTGGTTTTGTTTATACAAAAATCTTTTTAATTTTATATAATCAAAATTATCTATTTCACATTTCGTAATGCTTTCTCTATTTTCTTTGGTCCTAAATTCTTCCCTTATCCATAGATATGCCAAAAAAAAAAACCCAAATAACTATACCATGCTCTCCTAATTTGTTTATGGTATCACCCTTTACATCTTAATCATGTACCCATTTTGACCTTATCTTGGTATACGGTGTGAGATGTGGTTTATTCCTAATTTCTATCACACTATTTTCTAGTTTTCCCAGCACTTCTCGTTAAATAATGAGTTTTTGTTCCAAAAGCTTGGATCTTTGGGTTTATGATATACTAGACTACAATGTCATTTACTATAATGTAATGTGTATTTAATTTGTTCCACTAATACACCACTCTATTTCTTAGCCAATGTCAGATTGTTTTGATAATTATTGCTTTATAAAACAGTCTGAGATCTGGTACAGCTAGGCTAATGTATACATGATTTGTGCAACCATTAAACATGTCTTCATACCAGTTCACCTCAGAGTTGAATAGTTTCAAGTAAGGCTCAGAGCCTGCCAAAAGTCCAGGTCTCTTCAGAATGTCAATTAATAGTTTTGTTCTCCTCAGGATGTCAGTTAAGTCATGAAGTAGTCATTCTCCTTAGAATGACAATTAATTCTACAGACAAGCATTCTCTTTCCTCTAGTAAAGTCCTCCAAACTCTCTGTCATCCTGGGTCTTGGCAACCAGGAAGCTCTCCAAACAACAAAGGCAGAAAGGATATTGGATTATTATTGTTCAGTCACTTTCATGTCTGATTCTTCATGACCCCATCTGGGGTTTTCTTGGCAAAGATACTGGAGTGGTTTGCCATTTCCTTCTCCAGCTCATCTTACAGATGAAGAAACAGGGACAAACAGGGTTAAGTGACTTGCCCAGGGTCACATAACTGGTAAGTATCTGAGGCTGAATTTGAACTCAGGTCTTCCTGACTCTAGGCCCTGCATCTTATCTGCTGTGTCAACTAGCTGCTCCCTAATGATTGGTATTTACCACCCACTGTACCTGAGGACAGTGTATATAGAAAGTATATATGTATATGTGTGTATGTTCATACATACATACATACCTATCTATATCTATATATCTGCATTTAATTGAAGCTGGCAGGGAAGAGGGGGAAAATAAAGTAAAAAATTCACAGCAGAGAACAAAAGAAAACCTAGAAGGAAGCAAAGAAAAGCTGGGTAGCTTTGAAAATAATAGATAGTTTTTATTATATAGGTTTTCTTGAAATGGAATTTTTTTATATTGAATCCTCTCTTATGTTCTGCTATCATGAAAAATTTTTTTTCTTTTCTCATTTTTCGCTCCTTCACTCTGCCATCTTGGCTCCGCCCCCTCTTTTCTCATTTTTTATTTAAGTTTAAAATGAATAAAAAATTTACCAAAAACATTTTTTCCCCTTAGCTACTTCATCTGATGATCCTTCAGATCTCTTCCAACACCAACATCCTATGACTCTATGAGTGAATCATGTTTTAAATGTACTGTTTCTTCTAAAAGCTGACAGGAATTGGAACTTTATGTTATTTATTTAATATTCTATTTAGTGCAATATTTAATAACAGACTGTAAGATCCAGGAGGACAGGAAACATTCTATCCAAACTTCTCCCCCAGCTCTTAGCATAGTACTCTGCACAAAGTAGGTGCTTTAATAATATTGGTTGGTTAACTACCAGATGATATCAATGAGCAGAGCAATCTGAGTGTCAATTTTCCCTTTGGGGCTGACTGCAAATGCACAGAAAATTCACCATTTCCTTTAGTGTAGGTAGATCTTCTAAAAAAAGCAAGGGCCTGGTTTTCCCTTTCCAATCTTTTCACTCCCCCTCCCTTTATGGAGGCATGATTTTCTTTTCAAGCCCTGCACACACTGCATGAGTGAACTATCAGGGAAAAAGAAAAGCCTCCCACTTGCTGGCAAAGAGTTTTTACTGGCTCGTGTCTCAGGAGAATCTTGTCCCAAAGATATTCTCTCTCTCTCTCTCTCTCTCTCCTCTCTCTCTCTCTCTCTCTCTCTCTCTCTCTCTCACTCTCTCTCCTTGTCCTTCCCTCCCCGCCTTTCTGCCTTTGTCTTTCTCTCTGTGTGTCTTTTTTCCACTTTCTGTCACTCTCTCTATCTGTTTCTCTGTCTCTCTCTAATGAAATTCCAGCTCAGTTAAATCCACAGCTCTTGTATCTCTAGCCAGATTGCTCTGCCAGCTCCAACCTGGATTTTTTTTTAAAACCTCTGTCATTAAAACCAGCCCCCTTTCAGTTTCCTCCCTTTCTTCCCAAACTCCTGAATGAATTCAAGTAGAATTGGCATAGATAGCCATCAAGCTGTTAATGCAGTGACACATCCTTAATGAAAAAAAAACAAAACAAAACACAACAACAACCTAAAAATACAGCAGAAAGAAATAACAGTTCTAAAGGGGGCTAGCCTTCCAACCACTAGTGGCCAAGGGAGGAGGGGAAGAGGGGAAAAACAATGAATTTCTCTCAGTGAGAGAGACTGAAAAAGGCATAGAATAGATAAGGGCGGTACATGGGTCCCCATTCTCAGAAGAATACAAAGGGAATAACTGGATCATTCTCCCCAACAAACACCTATCCATGCATGTCAGATGGGCACTAGCAGACTCTTGCCCATCTTCTCCATATGGCAGTATCCATTGCTCTTATTCTCTTCTTCATGAGGGACTACAAGCCATTCAGCTCATAGTTAAACCCACACTAGAAAAGTTCAGCATCCTAGCTTCAGCCTCTGTCATTCTCCTTTATACTGAAGGTCAAAGCCTCCTATCCTTTCGCCTTTCAGGAAGATTCTGTCAATTTCCCCAAAGCCAGTGGCAGACCTTGATTCCCTCTGACCTCTTGGAAGAGTTATGATAGTTGAATGAATTAATGAGTGATAGAAAGAGAGGGAGAAAAAAGAAGGAAGGAAGGAAGGAAGGAAGGAAGGAAGGAAGGAAGGAAGGAAGGAAGGAAGGAAGGAAGGAAGGAAGGAAGGAAGAAAAAGGCACATTGGCCAGAACTGCTCTCATTAGCCTCTCACATAGCAGTTATTAATACTTAAAAGACAGGATTTGGCATCCTTTTTGCTTTCTCATTGTATTGTTAAGGGAAAGTTTTAGGGGTTTGGGTTTTTTTTTTCATTTACTGAAGTCTCTAATAGTCTTTTTATTTGAAGAAAGGGAGTTGGGGCAAGCAAGCAACCATTATCACCAACGAAAAGCAAACCCTAAAATCTCCCCCGTAAATAACCTTATTTAAAATACTAACTTACCTTCTCCTAAGCAAACCCATCAATCACCACTTTAACAGAACCCAGGAGCTGTAGCTCAGGAATACACTGACGATGATTAGACCACATGGAATCATAAGGAAGTTGGGTAATTTTAATCAAAACTAGCATTTACCATTAAGTGATGATCATGCAGCAGTACATACAACTAAAGCAATCTATAAATTTGGTGGGAGGAAACACAGTACCTCATTTAGCAATCACACAAAACATGGAAAATGTTGCTTTTTATTTCCACCATTAGCATCTCTGGCACCCCAGAAAAACACATGTACAGCATATTTTCCAGCTTCACTCTTTGCTAACAACCATGATTGAGCCTCACATGACTGTTTTTAAAATAAGTCATTTACATACCATAATAAAACGAAGAGAATGAGATCAGTTACTTTTCACAGCTGACCAAGAGAGGTTTCTTATCCGATAAGAGGCAGCTCACAAAAGGTAAAACAGATCAGTTTTATTACATGGAATTGAAAGCATTTCTGTAAACAAAATCAATACAGCAAGGATAAGAAAGGAAGGTATTGACTAGGAAAAAATATTTACATTAAATATCCCTAAATAAAAGTCTACTGACCAAGATCATAGATGTGGAGCTGTAATAATGACCAGGCCTAGGTCTAAAGAAGAGTCATAGGAAGACTCCTCCCTCCCTCCTTTGCAGAGGTGGGGGATTATGGGTGTAGAACATTGCACATAATGTTGTACCTAGTTTGGTTGAACTGTTTTGGTTTTTTTCTCTTTCTTTCTTTTTATTTTTTGTCACATGGAATAGCTCTCTGGATGGAAGAAGGGAGGAGGGATATACTGAGAAACGAAGTGATATTTAAAAAGGAGTTCCATTTAAAAAAAAATTTTAAAGAAGAAAAAAGAAAATGAATATAACAAACTGTCCCAGACTTCAGTTTACATGAGCTCCTATTCCTTTAAAAAAACAACAACAACAACAAAAGGAGATTATACTATACCCTTTTCCAGCAGGATGCTGAATATGCATTCCTGTTGCCTGCTGGTGAGGAAAAACACCTAAAAGGTCTTGAGCATTAATTCCCCTAAAAGGAGAATGGTGGGGGAGGGGTGGGGATAGTTCATGTTCCCAAAAGCCATCTCTTTGCTGACTAAGAGAGCAGTATAATTTATCATCTAATTTCCCTAAAAGGGGGCAATCACATCAAATGAATCTGATTGTTTTCTTTAATCACAGTGATTTTTTATATGAAGAGAGGCTCTTGTCTCACATTGCTGCCCAACTAATTCCCCAAACAAGAAGTCACCTGGGAACGTACAGAGACAAAAGTCTCAGTGGATTTCACTGCTTACCTGATGAGTTCTGAATGTTCAGGATTACTTTACCAGAAATGCTTGATATTTATAATTTTAACTTTATAAAAGCAGATAAAAATGCTCTTCATCTGAAAGATATCCACTGTGCTGTTGACCCTTACAACATAGGTGGAAGAGTTCAGTCATTTCACTCATGTCCAACTATTTGTGACCCCATCTGGAGTTTTCTTGGCAAAGGTACTGGAGTGGTTTGCATTTCCTTCTCCAGCTCATTGCACAGATGATGAAACTGAGGCAAACAGGGTTAAGTGACTTGCCCAGGGTCACACAGCTAGTAGGTGTCTGATTTGCACTCAGGAAGATAAGTCTTCCTGAATTCAGTCCTGGTACTCTCTATCAGTTGCTCCACTAGTAGGATGACACCTCAACTCAAAAAATCTGAGTTTGAATCCTGGCTCTGTGCAAAAACCAAGTAAAATTATTATGTGTTTACAACTACAAGCAGGGGTGCACTTGAGGCAAATTAAACTTGTTTGCCTAATGTATTATTAAATTTTTAGCCTAAGCATTCACACCTCAGAATCTGGCAATCACTGCAAAGCAAAGTTTGATTTATTGCTTTGTTGATTGTCTAGACTTAAGAAAGTGATGGAGAAAATATTGATAATGGAGATTGCACTGGGTTGTTTTTTTTTTCTGAGAGCTCATTATTTATATTCACCAACACACCTCTAACAGTAACAGACTGCATAGTTTTGTAGATGAGGAAATTGAAACTCCCAGACTTTAAGAGAGTCACCCAAGGTCACATTCATATTAAGAGATCTGGAAACAAAACCCATGTGTTCTGATTTCAAATCCAATGCACTTTCTACCATGGCGTGTTGACTCCCATTTTCTAGTGCTGTAGAATGATCATTATACCTTAATTATTAAATTTTCTTACCTGAAAAAAATTTTTTTTTCTTTCTTATCTTACCCCAGGTTGGGGGGGCGGTGTTAAGGAGAATCATCCATATTGGCATTATGCTATAGCTCTTCATATTTATAAGCTCTTTATTTTATAGCATTTAGGGCAGGTGGGGATCTTAGAGATCATGAAATACAAGTATATTATTTTAACAATATGGTAACTGAATCCTAAAGTGGTCAAATGACTTGCCTGAGGTCACTTAAGTTTTAAGGGACAGAGTATAGATTTGAAGTTGGATCCTCTACTTACAAATGTATCACCCTTTCCATTTCTATCATCATTTAGTCTTATCTGGCTCTTCTTAGCCCATTTTGGGTATTCTTGGCAAAGATAGTGGAGTAGTTTGCCATTTCCTTCTCCAGCTCATGTTACACATGAGGAAACTGAGGCAAACAGGGTTAAGTGACTTGCCCAGGGTCACATAGCTAGTCACATCTCAGGTCACATTTGAACTCAGGTCCTCCTGACTCCAGGCCCACCTTTTAGTTGGCCCATCTCTATCATACCTCTTCTATTTGGATTGATCTAAGGAAAAAGTTTGCTAATAATCAGATCTATCCAAAAGTGAAATGGATCCTCTAGAGAGGTAATTTATTGGAGATATTCAAGCAAAGGCTGGCTGTCTACCTGTAGGGACACTGTGTAGGTCATTCCTCTTCAGATCCTCATTGAACTCAATGGCCTTGGGGGTCCCTTCATCCTTAAAAAATTATGATTTTGGCAATTTATATTCACTATGCTGTTATATTTCACATGGTTACTGTAAATACTTGAGGAATTGTGCCAGACCTTGTGTTTTTCCTCCTCATACTCAAATTTCTAATGTAAACAAGGAGGGATATGTGAGCTATTGTTTATACTTGTACTCTGAACATGGATTCCAATTACTTGAGTACAGCACTTACACCTGAAAATCTCGGACTATAGGGAAAAGCATTTTGCTAAAGTAATGCTTTGATAATCAGCCAAAGTATGAAGAGATTTAGGTCAACCAAATGGGAAGAATCCTCTCTATAACTTTTAAAACCATCAGTTCCTCTTAGGAAATAATAGCTGTAAGAGGTAGGTATCCTGGATTCTATTCATGGCTTCAGTGTAGACTCATTGTCTGACCTTGTCTCCATCATTTTTCTTCCTAGCACTTATCCTCCTGCATCTATAAAACAGACACCAGTAAGTCTGCTTAGCCTATCACTATGTGTTACTGTACTATAAAACAGACAAAGTCTTTACAGAACCAAACCATCAGAAAATCGAATGGTGATAGAAAGGAATATACTTTTTTTCTCAGAGACACATGGCATTTACACAAAAAATGACTCATGTACTAGAGCATAGAAACCTCACAATCCAATGCAGAAAGGCAGAAATATTAAATGCATCCTTTTAAGATCATGATGCAATAAAAATTATATGTAATAAAGGGCCGTGGAAAGATAGACTAAAAAATAATTGGAAACTAAATAATCTAATCCTAAAAAAATGAATGGGTCAAACAACAAATCATAGAAACAATTAATAATTTCATTCAAGAGAATGACAATAATGAGACAGCATAACAAAACTTATGGGATACAGTGAAAGCAGTTCTTAGGCGAAGTTTTACATCTCCAAATGCTTACATAAATAAAATAGAGAAAGAGGAGATCAATGAATTGGGCATACAACTAAAAAAACTAAAAAAAGAACAAATTAAAAATCCTCAATTAAATACCAGATTGGAAATACTGAAAACCAAAGGAGAAATTAAGAAAACTATTGAACTAATAAATAAAAGCAAGAACTGGTTTTATGAAAAAAACCAATAAAATAGATAAACCTTGGTTAATTTAACAAAAAAAAAAAAGAAAGAAGAAAATCAAATTACCAGCATCAAAAATGAAAATAGCGAATCCACCACCAAGGAAGAGAAAATTAAAATAATAATTAGGAACTATTTTGCCCAGCGATATGTCAATAAATTTGACAGTCTTAGAGAATTAAACCATCAGCAAACATTTAGTAATGCCAGGTACTATGATAAGCATAATTCATCTGTCAATATCTGAGAAAGAGGAATCTCATATAAATGAGTTTTCCAGATAACTAAAGCCTAATCTTTTCAGGGACAAAACTTTCTCTTTTTTAACCATTTGGGATCAATTAATCAGCCTACTATGTGCCAGGCACTGTACTAAGTGTTAAAGATGCAAATACAAAGGATGAAACATTATCTTTCTCCCTCAAAGAGCTTGCATTCTGACAGGGAAGAAAAGTACAAACATAAATTTATAGAGAGTGAATATAAAAAGAATAAGCCCAAAGTAGTTAAATGCTGGGCAGCAGACGATCAGGGGATAGAGCAGTGGGCCTGGAGCGAGGAAGTTTGTTGTTGTTGTTGTTCAGTTGTTTTCAGTCGTATCTGACTCTTCTTGACTCCATTTGGAGTTTTCTTGGCAAAGATACTAGCTACAAATGAGAAAACTGAGGCAAATGGGGCTAAGTGACCTGCCTAGGCCCACACAACCAGTGTCTGAGGCCAGATTTGAACTCAGGAAGATGAGTCTTCCTGACTCCAGGCCCAGTGCACCAACTGAGTTCAAATCTGGTCTCAGACACTTAATATATATGTGGCCTTGAGCAAGTCACTTAACCTCTTTTTCCCTAGGAGGCAGCTAGGTGGCTCAGTGGATAGAGCTCTGGGCCTAAAGCCAATAAGATTGTTGTTTAGTAGTTTTCAGTCATGTCCAACTCTTTGTGACCCTTTTGGGGGGTTTTCTTGGCAAAGATGTTGTAGTGGTTTGCTGTTTCCTTCCTGTATAGTATCTTTGCCAAGAAAACCCCTAGACAATATGGTCCACAGGGTGATGAAGAATCAGACAGAATAAAAGAGCCAAATGACAATCAAATGTTTGGAACAATTACGTTTGGAGCAATTAAATTTGGAACAATTAAAAGTTTGGAAGAGAGGTGGGGGGAAGGATGAGGAAAAGACCTCATGTAGAAGATGCTGCTTGAGCTGCATTTTGATGGAATCGGAGGTGGAAGAGAATGAATTCCAAGCATGAGGGGTGGCCAGTTTGAAGTCACAGAGAAGTGAGATGGAGTGCTCTGTGTGAGAAACTGAAAGAAGCTCATTCAGGCTAGATCTCATAATTCGAGAGGAAGAATAATATACAACAATGATGAAAAGACAGGCTGAGGTGAGGCCATAAAAGGCTTTAAAAACTAAAC